ACCCATTAAAGATGTGCAATGAAATATACGCAAATCTTTTATGGGGAAAGAAACTAAAGTCCATTGCACAATCATTAAAACCAATCCATAAAGCAAAATCTTGCCCCTGCCAACTAATCAAACAAAAGAAAGCCAAATCCATTATTGTATTTATATTAGTTGGTAACTGAATCATGATGTTGTGGGAATAAATTTGATTAGCATCAAGACAAATCACATAGGTTCTTTATTATCCTAAACTTCACCCTGATTTTTGGATGCAAGCTTTAAACAAATCATTTTGTCCACTTCCTATTCAACTACATAACTAATCTTTACATCCGCTAGAATTGAATATAGTGAAAAGAGTTAGTTCCTAAAAAAGATGAATTAAGGTTCGAATCTCTATTTACAGAAATATCCATATTTAATACTCGACATTGTTTTGAATATAATTAACTTCAATAGGAGAATAGTTATACGTAGGGGGAAAAAAAAGTAACTAATCTCTATGTTGTCGGAAGAGCATTTTTAAAATATATTTAAAATAGAACTTCTGATATTTTATTTAATAAACCGGACCAGGCCCAAATCATTTTTCCTCTACAGCAGCGTTGTGCTTGTGGGATCACGAATGAAAATATTTAATTATCCATAGGCCTTAGCTACATGTAAATGCAGAAATTTCACATGTGAATACGACCAAGAAAATAATTTTGTTCCTTATTTAAGACTTAATTGTGATTCTCCCAATTTCTTTTACCGTGTGACAGTTAGATCTTGAAAGACCAGATAACAACTAGATAAAAAATTGTTAAAATAGACGCTGTAAGTATAAGTAAAGATAATAGCTGCTGGCAAAAAAAAAAAACAAAGATAATGGCAAACATATAAATCTCAGTTGTAAACCAGATATTTAGGTCTTGTATTATCATGTAATCGACACTTTCATATTTACACTTATATGAATTAATATTTATAAGTTATTTTATGGAAATTCTTTAAAACCCAGTTATAATTAAATTAAATTTAGGAGAATCACTGCGAGGTTTCAAGAAAAATATGATGATAAAAAAAGTTTTAATAACAAATAAGGAATTAGAATTTATTATCATTTTTTATACTGGAACTAATTATTACAAACTACTCAGTTGTTGTTACAAAATTTTTTGGTTAATATATTTATTTCTTAAGATTTTATCATAATTCTTTTATTAAACTTTAAAAAAATATTTTCTTTTGTTTCATTCAGTGGAGCTCAAAGATTGCGTGTTTTGACATTCACAGCGCACAAGTCACAACACAACGCTGTCTTTGGGAGAAAGTGTGGCTTCCTTCAAACTTCTATATCAATCTACTTTGGTAAAGTTAGGCAACTGATGCCCATTTAAGGAGCCCCACGTCTTGTGATATGAAAAGGGAAGAATGAATGAAATTGGGGGGGAAAAATAACTCCCCCTATTATACATATAACTATTACAAATAATTTTTAATGTAAAAAGGTGATTTTTCTAAATATACTATTGTTCATAGCTAGAGAGAGGACGAATGGGAGAGGAAAAATGAATAGAAAAACATATAAAAAAGGAAAACGCTTAATTAGGTGAAATTCATTATATTTATTATGTCAAGTTCTCCGATAATACATGATCGTGTCATTTTTTGTTTCATGTGAATTTATAATTAAATATTACTCCTCTGGTGTTAAATATAAAACTCATTTTGTAGTGTAAATTACACTACAAAGTGGGTCTTATATTTAGGACCGAATAAGTATTAAATAATATTTAAAAATAGGACACATAATCATGTATGATTGAAGAATTTGATATAATAAATATAAGAAACTTGATGTAAGTATTATCTTATAAAAAATTAATTGAAAAAAGAGATAAGAATAACATATACTCCTCTAATTCTATTTATAGGGCAAAGAGAAAAGATATTTTTTGGTCCTATTTATAGGACACTGAAAGAATTTTTTTACATAGATATATAATTTTACCCTTCATTTATTATTATGTTGATTTTGTTTGCATGAAGTACAATATATATTAAATAGAGATAAAGTTAGAAAGTTGTTGAATTTTAAATGAGAATCAATAAAATTTAAGGTTTTTTTTATCTATGTGAAACATGTTAAAAATAACTTATAAATAAGAACAGAAGAGTAATTATAGGACTAAAAATTAAAAAAAATTAAATTAAATTTTCGGACAAGTAATTCGGCATAGAAAAATAGGAGGAGGGAGCAGTAATAAATGGGCCGATGAGAGGAGAATCTGCAAACTAGAATAACCATGAGAGATCGGAGGGGGACGTTTTATTTTTTGGTAAGGTTCTGACCAGCATTAAATTCTGAAGTCCAAAACCAAATTCAAAACTCATCATTTGATTAATAGGAAGTCTGGGAAGACTCATCATTGCTTTCCTCTTCACTATACCCAAAGTTTTCCTTTGAATGTGGCCACCTCACTTTCATTTATTTAACTCCACGCTTTGCTGTCCTCTTTAATTGCAGTGCTCAAAGCGGTCAACCAGACAACCATCTTGATCACCCCATATAGGGCTTTAAATTTTCTCTCCATCTATGATTTTCTTTAGATTCCCCACAGATATACTTATCCAATCCTATTTAGTAAGTCATTTTTGTTTTCAATATATTTTATATAAATTAAGAAAAATATTAAATTTTATTAACTCTACTTTAAAGTTTAATAACTTTTTAACCTTATCCCTATTTAATATACATTATATCATATAAGAATAAAGTCAATACAATAATAAATGATAAGTAGAATTGTATATTCATTTGAAAAATTTCTTTCTACCTTGTAAATATGATAAAAAAAAATTTATTCTCTCTCTCTATCATATAAATAGAACTAGAAGAATATATACTATCAAATTAAACATATTTTTTACACACCTATAAAATCATTTATCACTCCCTCCCTCCCTCCTACTCCTCTGATCCACTCTTTTCTCTTCTTCCCCCTCAACTCACTTCGTTCAAGATACAAATTTAGTTTGATAACATGTAAAAAAAAAAATACTCTGGTTTTAAATATAAGACTTATTTTATAGGATAATTTATATTATAAAATAGATTTTATATTTAGGATTATAGTAATAAATTCTTTTTTTGAATACAGACGGGAACGAAGAACCTGCATTTCCCAACAAAAACCAAAGGCTATAAAAAAAAAAATAAAAAGAACTAAAAGGAAAACCTAGCTAATGCTCCTCTTCAACGTCTAAGAGCAGTAACATCTAAAAAGAAGTATTGTACTCCTTTCCATTAAATAGCACATTAATTATTTATTACAATTTTCTCCTCTTACATCTACGAAGTTGATATAGAAAAATAAAAGTGCCAGTGTGCCACAATAAATAGAAGATTATAAAAAATAGTTAATATAAGAAACAAGAGAAACAGACCATATATTCAAAATCAAATTATATCTTTCAATAAGGGCAAGTTAGAAAACTTCTTAAATGTTTAGTGATTTCCTTGATTTAAAAAATTGTCTTGGTTCCAATAAAATATTAAAAGTAGTTTATAAATGGGAGCAGAGGGAGTATACAGATATTTAAAAATTTATGGCATAAATCACCTCCAGCGCAGCAAATTTGTCAAACTTTCCAGAAACTAATCAAATTGGGGGATGGGATCATGCTTTATTTTGCGGGGTCTGATGAATCACGTGGGTAGACTTCACGTACTTGTATGGGTTTTCTATTCTTTGGAAGCAATTGGCAGTATTTGCAAGAGATTTCAAACATAGATCTTAAATCTCAGACGGCTCCCCCAGTCAAGTGTGTCCAAACAAAACTTGGATTGCTATGCAATATTTCAATTCTGCGGCTAACTTTCTTTTTTGTTTTCGCAAAGGCCAACTTATTTCCTTTTTGCAAAGAGTTGAACTTCAGCCTCAACATTTTTTGCATTCCCGTTAAATTATTCAAGGAACTTTTGGCATCTCATTTACCTGCATGCTGTTCAAGAAAAGAATTTCTTTCCTTCAATCGCTCTGGTCAACTGATCTGACATCAAAATCAATTGACAATCTTGAATACATTTTTAAAATCATACTAGGAAGAATATTTGACGAATCTCACATAAATAGCTAAAATAACAAAAATTTGCTGACAAATGTCAATTCAGTATATCTGAAGCTGAACCAGCCAAACGCAAAAAATGCAACCCCAGAAGAATTGAATATTTCACTTTGAAGGATAAATTATGTACTCTGACCGCCATAGTTCAAAGGAAGTAAGGAAGTGTTTCTTATGCATACATCTGCCATTCAAATGGATGGTAAATCACATAGATTTCTGTAGATAACTTGAAATGTTAACCTCCGACGACTATGCTAGAATTGAGAGAGGAAAAGCACATACATATCAAACCTGTATTTAAGAGGGTGATTCCACGGGTTCTTGATCATTCTCTTCTTCGTCTTGAGCTACATCTTCCATCCTTGGAAAGGAATTTCCACGTGAGAAGAATGTAACAATTGATTCTACTTATCCATAGCTTTAGAGCCATGTCATCTCTTGTTTCTTGCGCAAACTATACGTCAATTCTCACACAATGACCAATGAATTGTCTCTTAATAATCAATAACTCTGGACATATTAAACTAATTTATGACGTGAATTGTTATTTATAAGTATACATCAATATTCCAAATATTTATTTTCTACAAATTATTTACAATATATCAAAGCTAAAAGACAGGTAAAGCATATAAGGAAGATGCATTTGCTCATTGTGAAGACTGGAATCGGATCTAAGTTCCAGGTCCATTGACGCCCTCAAAATAACGCAAGCTATGTACAGGATATACCAATGAAAACCATGCCCCGCTTGTTCATATTAGACTGAAATTTCAGTACATGATACGGTGGGTCCAAATTTTGGCCACGCAGGCTTATAGGCCTTGCGAGTAAATTTGAATCTAAAGCTTAAAATGCAAACTCAAAATAAATTAGCTGTTACGAGCCAAAAATTGTCTTTACCTGTTTTCTTCAACCTCAATATCCATTCCAGACGCTTCATTATGTTGCAATATTGAACAGAATAAACTTTTGTCCTAGCGTAGAAATAAGCATTGTGCTTAAGAACTCATTGGAAGTAACGATATCTAGAGGGAATGAAGTAACAACTTTATAGTAAAATCAAAATACTTATCTGGTAACTATGCAGCCAAGGACACTATGTCACTCTATAAAGCACAAGAAGAATTTTACAACTACATTTTCCTTTTAGGGCCATAACAGCTACTTGTTTGAGTATACATTTTTCTCTAAGTGCTAGGTCCAAAAATTGAGTAGGGATAAAGATTTATTTCCAGCGCCATAATTTCCCGGAACACAATTGTCCTCAGGACACATTTGTAAAATACTCTAAATAGACGTAATTTAAGGGCATAATAATTAAATGCGCAACTTGAAATGCTTCATGAAATCCTAATGAGAAACGAATCTGAACAATCAAAATTTTGTACCAAAGTAACTTTGAATTATATTACCTCCTCATTCATATTTCTGACAGTGGCGTTAATCTTCTGTAGGACGAATCTTAAACTTCCAACTTCATACTGCAATGCCTGTGAACAAAGTATGTTCAGAGAAGTAGGGAAAATCTCCAGGATTGACAACTTCAAAATATATATTGAGAAAACTGAATGCGGAACCTCTTTATCTGAAATTAAGTTCTGTATCATCACGTCCTTTACTGATAAAGTTTTCTGAAGGTGAGGCTTGTTAAGACAAAACTTTAAAATACGCGGACAAAAGTGCATATTATTTTTCTGGTGTTTGGTTCCGATTGTCATTCCTTGCTGGTAAGGATATATCTTCAATTTGAGGTGGGCTATTGTTGCTGAGTTTTTCTGCATCTAGCTTTGCTTCTAACTCTGAGATGAATTTATCCTTTCTTCTCAACTCATCTTCAATCTTTTCCAGTTTATTTCTCGAGTCGGTGATATTCTCTGGGAAAATTCAATTTTCAGCTAATAAAAAACAGCTAATGTATCTGCTAGTTTTCTTTTTGAATTGCGCACAGGTGTCCTCCTATTCGAAGCAGTCCTATTCAAGGTATGATTGGACACTATATATGTTAGTTTTATTAATTCAATATGCATAAACAATTATTTTCTTTTCTTGTCTTAATAAACAACTATTATGTATAACACACTCAACATTCCACATATTAAGACGGGTGGGTAAAAATTTAAATTACCTACAAATGCTTTTTCAAATGTGGAGATTTGATCCATTTTGTTTCTCAACTCAGCCACTAAATGCAGGAAACATAAAAATGTCAATAGGCAGTGAAACTATAATTTGTCTGAGTGCCCTTAAATGAGAAGGCTTCTGAATAAGAGTTTGGAAAGCCACTTGCCTATTTTCTCTTTTTCATTGACAAGGCTGTGGACGTTATCAACAATTTGCTTGATAGAAAACACCTCCTTCTCTATTGAATTGAATAACAAGAGGTGGGCGTTTATCTTCTCAGAAAGAACGTTGAGCTTTCTATCTTTGGTTTCAATTGAACGTCGCATTTCAGAAGTGGTTTCCTGCACAACAGCAGAGTAGAAAAATAACTAAATTGAGAAAACCAATTGTGCAATTAAGCTTCCCCCCTGGTAGCATGCAATTCATTACGACAGTCATTTTTGTTGCTGTTGCTTAAGTGTTAGCCTTCATTGTGGAATACTAACGCTTAATAGTATCATTATTTAACAAAGAACAGGGAAATGGTATCGGGCATGACATTAAAAAATAAAATCAGATACCAGCAACAAAATTAATCCCGTTCGTGTTTGAAAAATTACCATATACGAACCTCGTAAGCATGCATGAAATTTTCCCTGGACAAAAGTAGGCTTTGTATGGTATCCTTCAACTCTTTTTGCTGGATTTCAAGCAAAGCATTGTCGTTCTGAAGATAATTCACCTGCAGTTATAATGTTACATTTTAAAACTCCGCATTAGCAAGTAGCAGCTGATAGAATATAACTCCAGCGAACAATCACGTTAATTGGAATTTTTGATTGAAAACAAAATGGGAAAAACGCACCCTCCTTTCGAGTTTCTGGCACTCTTCTTTGACTGAAGCTAACTCGGCTTGCAGGTCCTGTATTTTTCTGTTATGCTCTTCCTCGCTTTGTTTATGCTTCTGTTTTTACTCTCAATGTCACAATCAGACCAACAGAAAATAAAAAACGGCCAAAAATAACCAATCATATCGAAATGAAAACCTCAATTCCGTGTTGGTGTTGTTCGGCCGTTGTGCGTTCCTTTCCTGGCCGTTGTGCGTTCCCTTCCTGAAAAAATCAAGTTATTACCGATCTACTGCGCTTAGAACACAGAAAATAGCGGGCAAAGAAATTTTTACTCTGAGCTCCCGAACTTCAGTGACAAGAGCTCGAAGTTGGAGCTTGAACTTGGACAATTTGAGCAATTCCATTACCATTCCCCCGAATTCCCCTCAGCTCGTTACTTCGCGATTTTCATTTGCAGCGTAAACGCGCCAAGACCAACAGGTCAAACTCCGCATCGGGTTTAGGCCCAAAAAACACTCGGGATCGGGTACTTTGGGCCGGAACATGAAACGACGTCGTTACATTTTGGGTTTTTCCTGCAGTATAGCCCTTTTCTTTTTGGAAACTCTCTTGTGGAAACATACTCTTCTTGTCCTAAATATAAAACCCTTGTACATACTAGTATAAAAATTTTATATTTAGGATCGGAGGAGTATATGAAATGTAGCTGTCTTTATAAAATACTACCTCCGAAGTTTAATATAATAGCTCATTTAATTTTTATTTTGGTTTTAAATATAATACTCTAGTTCATTTTATTTTTTATACTCCTCCGGTCCTTATTATAAGACCCAATTTGACTTTTTATTTGGTCCTAATTATAAGACCCAATCCATTTTGTCTCTTATATTTATGCATTTTTTTCCAAGATAATCCTTCTAATAATGATAGTTTTAGCCAATATACTTAATTAGCAAGGATATTTTAGGAATGACAACACTTATTTATTATAAATAACCAACTTAACTTACTTCCTTAATCTCCTCAAATAAGTCAATTGGGTCTTATAATTAGGACCGGAGGAGTATTTATCTATTTTTTTAAGATAGTCCTTATAATACTAGTAGTTGTAGTTAATATATTTGATTAGTGAAAATATTTTAAGAAAAATACTATCTATTTATTACAAATAACTAATTTAACTAATTTTTTTAATTTACTCAAATTAGTCAACCAGCTCTTATATTAAAGACAACAAGTAGTATAAGAGCCATTTAACTAGTTAGAGTAGATTAAGAAAGTTACAAGTTGGTTATCTATAATAAATAAGAGTTTTTTCCTTAAAATACCTTTACTAATCATGTATATTATTAAAACTACCATTTGATAAAACTTTTAACAAATACAACTATATAAATACTATCTTTAAAAAAATAGACAAATATAAGAGACAAAATGAATTGAAATCTCCTATTTAAAATTAATTTGTTGCCAAATTAGCTTTTATATTAAGCAAAGGAGGCTGGAGATTATGTTTCCAAGAAGTACAAATTTATAATTGACTTATACATACAAGCTGTTTCATTTGTTATTATTGTTATCTAGTGTACTGTGCATTATTAGATTTTGGTGGCTTTGGAGCGGATTTTGGCGTGGATATATGGTTTAAATAACGTAATTCTTATAAGATTCTTAAACACGTTAAACGAACGTCCTTTCCACAATTGTGAAACACGGTAGTAATATGGATAGGCCGAATCGTTGTCCTTGGATCGTCTCGTGTACGAAATTGCATGTCAATATATCAACTTTTACAAACTCAAATGTTCGCTTTATCAATTTTTTAAAATATGTTGTCATTATATTTAAATTTAACTAAAAGCCATACATTATTTCATGTGGAAAAAATCAAAATTAAAAACACGATTTTTAATTAGGCAATATCATCATTATACTCACTCCAGAACTTAAAAGCTAAATGATGAATTTGCAGATATTAAAACAATTAATTAAATTAGTTATTTATGATAAATATATATTCGTTTTTCTCTAATACCATTAAAACTGTAACTATCCTTTCATAAAAACTCTCTTACCGAGTGCAACCAATAGGAGTATTTTATTCAAAAAAATATAAATTTAAGAGATAAAGTGAATTGAAATCTCATATATATGAGCTAATTAAGAAGTTGATTTGATCTTATATATAATACCTATTTCACATTTTAACAATTTTTTTCAAATTAACTTTATTAATATTCCTCCAACAATAGTCAAATAGAAGGGGGGGAGAGAATTGAGAAAGATGCTTTTGGTATTTTATAAAAAAACATATCATATTAACTAGTTCAACTAATATCTTTAATTTATTTAAATTAATTAATTAAGTTTTATATTTAAGATTATAAAAGTACTTAAAATCCAAGTAAATTACTTATCTAACTTCTATATTTTATAAACACTCCCAGAAAAGGGCGGGTGCGGGATGGAGCTTTCAAGCGGAGGAGTGAAAACTTGGAGAACGGAGGGGGCCGGGGGACAAATGCTAAGCAAATTTTGCCCATTGTCATTCAATATGATAGTTCAGCTCATCATCATCTTTCTTTTGAAAATGCCTTCTTGCCTTCAATCATTTAATTGAGTGTTTTGATTTCTTATCTTCCTCTTCTTTCTGACCCGCACATTTAATAATTTTTTCTTATAGATGTCTGAATCACTTGGAATGATTTTACATCATTTTTTCTTCAATACATCAATAAACTATCTTTTTTTTTTTGCATGTAATAATTCTTCCCGCCCTAAATGTAAAATCTATTTTATAGTACTATCTCCTAAATATAAAAGCTAATTGACTAATTTGAGGAGATTAAATAAATATGTTAATTTAATTATTTGTAATAAATAGGTGTTGTCTTTTTTAAAATATCCTCGCTAATCAAGTGTATTGGTTAGAACTACTATTATTAGAATAACTATCTTAAAAATATATATATAAATATGAGAGACAAAATGAATTGAAATCTTATAATTAGAACCAAAAGAAAAGTCAAATGAGATCTTATATTAAAAATCGGATGTAGTATAATTTAAGAGCACATGAGTAAGTTAAAACGAGAGAGGCAAGTCCCATATAAGCGAAATTCCCTCCTTTTTATTTCTGAAGTCTCCTTGAAAAGAATACGTGTGTGTGTGTGTGTGTTTTGTTTGAGAGGAATTAAGCGAGAAAGTAAGTGGGTATGGGGAATAAAGGACGTGATGAAACATAGAGGAGGAATAATAATGGAGACAGTTATGGAAATTAAAAAAGGAAAGGAGGCAGGTGGCTTTGTGGGGATTATATATGCCTAGCCATATTTGATAAGGGAAATGGAAACGAGAGCCTTTGATCATTGTCAGTCTGGCAACTGTTTCTTTCGCTTTAACTCTGCGCGCCAAATTAGGTCACCCTCTAACCTCCACCGCCCTCAATGCATATCCTCCCCTCGCTCTAATAAATCGTGGTCCTTGTCGTCGTCGTCATGATGCAAGTTTCCAGATTTTGAAATTATACAAGTTCACTTCTAATATTACTTCGTAGTTACTAGCTCCGGTTTTACTTAAAAACCTAGTTAATTAATTTAAAAAGATTAATAAAATTATTATATTACTTAATTATATCATATGTTATATAGTCTATCTAACATATATTAATTTATAAGTGAGTCAAATCAATAAAGAAAAATGATAACTATAAATACTTAAAATAATTTAGTAATTTTTTAAAATCTTTTTAAATTAATTAAATGAGTTTTATAGTAAGGATTAAATATAGTATTTGTTCTGGAGTCGATAGGGGTATAAATAAATTAATTAATAAAAATACAAGATAAGTAAATAATAAAAGAAAAATTACACACAAATCCCATGTAAGACAATTTATTCTGAAAAAGTCTCTCGAAATCCCCAAATGCTTTCTAAGTTCTCAGGGACCTTAGAGTAAAAAGTTGAAATTGTAAAATTACGTACTTGCTCTCATCGAATGACAACATGTATAGTTACAGTTATAACCTATACAACAGCTAATTACAACCTATATTTGAATTATTCACAATATGCACAAAAGCTAATTACAACCCATACTCAACCAAATGACAACATGCACAGCATACAGTCACAACCTACACAGTAGTCAATTACAACTTTTTCAATCAGTAATGGTAAGTAGGTAATTTCACAATTTTAATTTTTTACTTTGAAGTCCCTGGAGACTTAGAAGGTATTTGAGGATTTTGAAGGACTTTTTAAAAATTAATTATTTTCTGTGAGATCTCTGTGTAATTTTCTCAATAATAAAAGAAGGAGCTTGGTCGATGAAAAAAGCGAAGCCGCAAAAATTACCTCGCAATAAAGAGGCGCGCTCGTTATCCGGAACTATATGCGATATTTTTTTTTTTGAGCAAAACAGGAACTATATGCGATTATTCGGTACTCTTGGATGAGGAGAAGGACACGTGACAAAAAGAAATATTGAATATTTGAGAATTAAACTTCTGATATTATTGAAATTATGTAAATAATTTTGAAATTTAAATATTTGATCATGATTTTTTAGATACTGGATTTAAAAAAAATAAAAAATGGAAATGTGTCTTAAGCATTGAGTTTTTTTTTTGGGGGGGGGTGGTTAGCCAGGGATGCTGACTGAAGAAGATGGTTAGTCATTTTCGTTGCTTTTCTTTTTTTTGGTCAAAGTCTTTTTCATTGTCCGGCATGTGTTTGTTATATCGTTTTCTTTTTTATCGCTCTTTTTTTTTTTTTAAATCCCATCACCATTTTGTATTACAACTTGATGCCGAAAATGATCTCATAATCTAGCAGTATGATGAAAAAATCAAGTGGTTTTGATTATTGATAATTGATAGTTTTCTATGGTGCATATATTTTTGGGTCAAATTTATGATGCTGCGTGCATAATTGGTTTATTAAATACAATATTCCAATTCTTTTTTTTGCCATCTACGATATTCTAAATACTTCATGTTAAAAAAAAGGATGGAATAAAATAATGTTAGGATGGAATTACCGAATTAGCGGGGGAGAAAAAGGGAGAATTAGCTAGAAGTGACATAAGGGAGGAGCTAAGATTCTTTTTTTAACAAAAGGGAAATTTGAGAAAAACGTGGCGACAATCTCAGGAGTGAAGGCTTTAAATTTGTTATTCGTATTCGATGCTTTTTTTTTTATAATATTTTTCGTTCTGCAGTATACAACTTTGTGGTGTGAGAAGGAAAAGAAAGAAAATCAACGAGGAAGGATAAAAATTCAAAATATTCAAGCAAATAATTCTACTCTCATTTATAAATATAAGATCTAGTTTTTGCAATATAAATTTTTATATTTAGCGTTGGGAGCAATATTATTTTTCCTTCAATATAAGTTGCTTCGTTAAACTTATTGTACTCTAGAATTTTACTTCTAATTTATTACTATTTAGAGTTTTATTTAATTAAAAATATATGTATTAAATTAGAGTAAAATTAAAAAAATTATTAAATTTTAAGATAAAATTAAAGATATTCAAGTTTACTGGCATGAGATATTTTATACAAGTAAAATATTACGCGTTCAATCGTACTTCTAACCCTATACCATGTTCATGTTTACCTTTTAATTAACAAAACAAGTCATATTCAGATATTATTAAGTAATTCATATCTTTTTTCCCATTTACTAGATTTAAACATTTGATCTCGCTTGGAACGACTGTTATGCCGATTAAATGTTTGATGCTAACAACTGGTCTAACTTGTTTTCAATTTAGTTTTAAACTTTGCTTCACAATTGTCCAAAAAAAAACAAAGGAAATTATTGATATCTATCATCAAACTGGACCTCGTAATATAATGCCAAAGACATGTAGAGTAGAAGAAGGATCAGTGTCAAGGAATTAAAAAAAGACCAAATCGATTGATGCAACAAGATAAGATTTGTATAATTTATTCTGTTATTTTCCGGATTAAATTGCATATAATTAGACTATTTGTCTTAAACGCATCTGAGCTCTATAGAGTTACATGTTACCCACATAAAACTCAAACTATAAATAGATTATTTATACATAAAATTGACTTTAATAAGATTTTTCTTGGTAAAGGACTTCAATAAGATATTTGATTATTAATGATATATATATATATATATGTATATCATGTTGCTCTATCAAACAAGGATCTGAGTAAGAGGTTTCCACTGAATTTAGACATCAGAAAATTATTTATGGGTAACTTAAAACTGGATAATTTTGTGTAATTAACTTAATTAATAAAACATGGTGAGCCACTTTCATGGTGGAATTCTCTTCACAGAAACTGGGTCACTGCAGTCTGAAGGCGCAAAGCTCGAAGCAGAATTTCTTTTGTTTAGTTGTTTTGGTTTTTCTATACTCCTATACTTAATATAAGACTAATTTGATTAGATTAAAAAAGTTAAATAAGTTAGTTAATTAGAAAAAATATGACATGTTTTTCTTAGAATACTATAATTATCTTTTTTAATATCATCCATCCATATCCTACTTGATTATGATTAAGAGAATATCAAAAGAGATAATTTAAAAAAAGTTAATAAATGTGATAAATAAGTCTTATATTTATAATTAAGATCAATTCAATAATTAAATCTTATACTCCTCCGGTCCTAAATATAAGGCCCTTATACACATTGGTATAATAGTCTTATATTTAGAACCGGAGGAGTATTAAGGATAAGAGGAGTATTTTTTTGGTTGTGTTCCGCGGTTGGTCCATGGATTTTTACTTATTATTTTTAGTTGTGATTAAACTTCCGGAAGCTCTGGTCTAATCAATAATACGAATTTCTTCTGACCCAAAAAAATTTGAAAACACATAAATCTCACCGTAAGGGACCGTTTGGGCGGTGGGCCTCATTTATACCTAAAATTCCAATCTCGAATTGACTACCGCTTATCATCAAATTCTTAACCATCGTTTTCCCCAATGCTTTCCCACAAACCACCTCTTAAGTCTCCCCTTTTCTTGGATGATCAAGTCTCCCCCTAATCATCATTGAAACCATCATTAATTTTCCCATAGCTTTTCCCCTAAATCATAGGATAATCAATGAAGCCGTGCTGCTTTCTCTTTCCCCCTAAACACTTTGTACGCCGTATTCGTACTTTGGTTAGCTAAAACTCTCAAAATGACCTGTCATTTTTTGCTTTGCTTTTCTTTTCCCTGTTTTTGCCCCCTTTTATCATAACTTCTTTTAAAATTTAAAAAATTGATCGAGGCAAAAAATTTATAAAATTGATACTCATTTCTACTTTTACCTTTTTAAATTTTATAAAATTTACCACACACTTTTTAATTTGTTCTATTATTTTAGTCTTATATTTAAATTGAACTGTATACTATAATTTTTTTAATTTTATCATGAAAAGTCTTAATCATGTGAGACAATTGTATTAGGCCCAAAAGATGATGGGAAAATTACACACAGATCCCATTTGGCAGAATTTATTAATTTAATGTTCTTTGAAATCTTAAAATAAATAGAAGGTCCTATAAGACCTGAGAATAATATATTTTAAATAAGAAATTATATTGTTATCCTTATCCTGATTGACAAGCTCATGGGGGTAAATTAATAAGTCAATGAAAAGCTATTGACAAATCAAGGGTATAGTTGGTAACTAAATTAATAGAGTAATATAACTTTCACATAAGATCAAATTATTACAAAAGAGTATTATATAATAATCTTTAAGCTGAAATTAGACGTGGCCAAGGCATCCACGCTAATATTAGACAAAATGATAGGTTTATGTCATAATTTCATTACGGACACCCATTAACAAGCTTAGGAGTACTGATTAACAGGTCCATGGAAAGCTATTAACAAGTAAAGAAGTATTAGTTAACAACTAAATTTATAAGATAATATAACATCCATATAAGATCAAATTATAACAAAAGAGTATAAGAATTTTTCTAATTTTATCTTATATGAAAGTTATATTATTTCATAAATTTAACTATTAACCAACACTTCCTGATTTGTCAATAAGTTCTCATTGACTTGTTAATAAATATCCACAAGTTTGTAAATGGATGTTCCCAACAAAATTATAAGATAAATTCATCCTTTCGTCTAATATTAATGAACATGTTTTGGTGACACATGATTTTAACATAAATATTGTTATGTAATACTCTTTTTATTATAATTTGATTTTATATAAAATTTATATTATTCTATAAATTCAGTTGTTAATTAATGCTTTTGGACTTGTCAACAACTTCTTATTGACTTATTAATTCACATGGGTTTGTCAATTAAAAACAGGAACAATGACGTAGTTTCTTGTTTAGAATATATTATTTTCAGGCTTGACAGGACCTCTTATTTATTTTAAAATCTCAGGGGTGTTAGATTAATAAATTGTGTTGTTTGGGATTTGTTTGTAATTTTATCAAAGATGACTGGGTAGGCAATCAGCCGTTGGAATTTTCTTCTCGAGCGATGCTGTTGAAAGATCGGACGGCGAGAATCGGGGGAGTCGGCCTGATGAGAGAGATAATAAACACGATTTATAGAGTGAGAAATCATGAAATGCTGGACCCTGGGAGAAAGACCTCACTGGAAGTGACTTGGTTCGCTACTCTCGAGGTCTCTGTCTCTGAAACAGTGCCAGGGATGAATGGAATATAAATATTAACACGGGGCGCATCAGCCTGCACTGTCCATGGAGATCAAACGCGAAGACGAACTTGCAAGTTGCCGCTTCTCTTCTCTCTTTCTCTTTGCCTAATTGCAACCTTTTCGTTGTTCTGAAGCTTCTCGAATAGCACACTTACTCTTGAAGTTATTCGCCCAGCGATGGGGGGTGGATGTTGACTGTTTGAGTGAAAGTTCATTGGCGGTGTTGGCAGGGATCCGGCGGCTATCAATATGATGAACGAGGGTTCGTTTGCGAACGGGAACGCCAATACGGCATCGTATAACTTGGCCGAGATCTGGCAGTTCCCCATGAACGGCGGTGCGGGTCTCGGGGAGTCTGGAGGAGGGTTGGCCTTGAGGAGGCCGCAGTTCGGACAAAATTTGGGGCTGTTTGGCGAGTTTACATCGGGTTCGAACCCGAATGGCCCGGGTATTGACCCGAGCTGTTCGGACCAGGGAGCGAACGGGGTCAATAGGAAGAAGCGCGATTCCGAGGATGAATCGGTGAAAGGCGTCTCCACCACGAGCAACGGTGGCATTGGCAATAGCAATGGCGTGGTAATCACTCGTTCGTATGCTCAATGATCTAGTATATGTGTATGTCTCAAAACCATTGGAAAGTTAATCCAATTAAGTGAGATTAAGCGCTGTTTTATTTGGCAAAAAAGTTGACGGTACGAAAAATTATAACACAGAAAATAAATCTGAAGTTATATTTTTAGAATCCATCCATTTACCAATTCTGAATTTGAGTTGAGCAGAATGATGGTGATGGAAAACGGCTTAAAGTATCTAGGAATAGGAATGAGAGCCCTGAAACTAAAGCTGAAACAGAAACCAGTTCAGAAAAGCCAGCGGAGCAAAGTACTCAGCCAGCTTCGGAGCCTCCTAAGCCGGCTTACATCCATGTACGGGCGAGAAGGGGTCAAGCTACTGATAGTCACAGTCTAGCGGAAAGAGTAATTTACCTCTGCTACTGAATTGCGTTATTGTTCCGATTTTTTTTTTTTTATTTAGTGTTGATCTTAAAAGAAGTAAATGAAAAATTATACTCTAGTTTTATAACCTTCTGTTACATATTTGTGATAAAGTGATTGGTTGTTTATGGAGCGGTAGACTAACTTGCTAGGCATTCTGATTGGAACAGGCGAGGAGGGAAAAGATAAGTGAGAGGATGAAAATTCTTCAGGAGTTAGTTCCTGGTTGTAACAAGGTATGGCTTAGTACTTGATGAGTTCTTTTCTGATCTGGGTTAACGTGAACTGGAGAAACAGGTGTTTGTATCTGTAGGGTCTAGGTTATTGATAAGACATCTGAAAATCATTCGTCACGGTTGTTGTTGTGTACCAACTTCCTTTGAAATTTTAAATTAAATGATTTTCTCGATTCAGGTTATTGGGAAAGCGTTGGTCCTCGATGAGATAATAAATTACATTCAGTCGCTAGAGCGCCAAGTTGAGGTATAACCCCGTTTTGACTTCTTTGGTTTCTTGTCCCGCTAATTATGATTTTTTTTCCAACACTTATTTATCGATTGAAATTGAGCCTTGTAATTTAACTGGATGACACAGTTCTTGTCAATGAAGCTTGAAGCCGTAAATTCAAGTGTGAACCCAGGTGGCATTGAAATTTTTCCTCCTAAAGATGTAAGTTGTCTACGACGTCTTTGGACTATGCATTGAATATTTACGAAACTTAAATAAATTGATGAGTCGAAAACTGGTTTTAATTGGTTTGTCTTAAATATTGAATCCCGATAGGCCATTAGTGCTTGTTCCTTTTGTTATTCTGTACTGATTTAAAGAAGAGTCAAACTTCCTTTTATAGACAATATTCATATCAGGAACCCTAAGCTTCAAGAGTAATATTCATATCACGCATGCATATTGAATTTATATTGAATTACTATATGATATCTTTGTATGGGAACCTTCCTTGGGAAGTTGAGGATTTGAATGATATGTGAAGTTAAATTTATCATGAATGAATAGTGCAAAATTTGATTCTTCTGAAACTTGTACTTGGATACAGTTTGGTCAACAAGCAGTTGACATGGTAATTGGTTCTCAAGCCCCGCGAGATCAGTTCACCCGGGGTTCGTCACCGGAGTGGTTACACATGCAGGTGGGCGGCGGATTTGAAAGAACAACATGATTCCATAAATCCTTGAATCTGGTAATAAATACATAAAGATGCAGTGTTTCCTTCCTCTGCTTAAGACAGATACTCAAAGCCCGAGAAGAAAATGGACAGGGCGAATGGTAACGCTGTCTTTTACAGGCCTGCTGAAGTTAATATATACTGCTACTAGCATGTCCATTTACTGCCGTGTTGTAATATTTATTATTCACTGAATATGAGGCATGGGGGAATATAAGGCAATATTCAGCTCCAACCTACAAGGTATTGTTCTTGTAAAAGAAGGCTGCCTCTCCTGATTACATATCGCTTACTTATTTTGTGCGGCAGTTTCAACATTGGAGTTTGTTTGTGACGCTATGTTGAATAAAGTATCCGGATACTAAATACATCCATAATTAAGCAGTTCAGAAAATGAACCCTTCAAAAGCTGAATAGTAACTGATGATACCCTAAACTGATGATTAGTCCGTTTAGAATCGACATTTCCATAGGCTCTCCTTAAGAATGTAAAATTACAAGCTGAGGTAAAATGGATCGCGAAGCCCTCTTGGCTCGCTTAGAGACCTTCCTAAACAAGCTCCGTAAGAATGTAACCAGCAAATCGACACTGTTCTTCGCGTCCTCTTAGCTGGTGTCTGCCTCAATTCCGTCATAGCCCCCGAATAGGGCTTCGTCCATTTCCTCAGGTTCTCCTTCAGTTGAATTATTCAACGAAGAAGAAACGGGGCAACGGTGAACTCAGTTCGAAAACAAATGTGTATTTGCTTTCAGAGGAAGCAGTTGTGACAGCATACCTTGCCATGGCAATGACTGAGTCTGAGATTGGAACAAGAGTGGTGGTGGAATCGGGAACCAAGTGTTGCGGGTGGAAAAGGTGCCGTTGAGGAGCAGTGGAGGAGCTTGGTGGATGGATATGGTGTGTGATTGATAAAAGAGGCTAGAGTTGCAGAAGCTACTGCCATTTTTAAAATAGGGAGCTCTCAGCTCTGAAATAGGGAGCTCTCAGCTCTGTTCCCTTATTTTTTGATCGGAATACTCCATTTCTTATTATCAAAAATAAAATATAAGCCATCTCTGCTTTCAGTTAAATGGGCTCAAGCAGTCAATAAGTCATGGGTCGGATTGGGATTGGGTCAGTCTTGTGAAGTGGATCAGGCGGCCTTTTTACGGTGCTTAGTCGAAACTGATATGCTACATTGCTACTTTCAGTCCTAAACTAGAAATTTCTCCCACATAGACTCGTGTATTTAATTAGATTTGAAATTAAGCGATACTTACATTAATTTCTTATATCTATAATATCAAGTTTTTTTAATCATAATTATGTGTCCTATTTTTAAAATATTAGCATTTGGTAGCATTTAATTATAAATCTAGGTGAACTCCTATTTAATAATAATGCTCCCCATTTAATTCTATATATTCTAATTTTAATTAAGATATTTAAGGTCAAAATTAATTGTTAATTTTTTCATGTGAGCTTCCAATTGAAATCTCATTTAATAACGATGCTCCCCGTTTAATTCAATACATTTAAATCCTAATTAAGATATTATTCAAATCTCAAATTAATTATTGATTTCTCTATTTGAGCCTCCAATTGAAATCCCATCTAATTATAATGTTTCCTATTTAATTCAATATATTCAAATACTAATTAAGATATAGGAAAATTCAGAATAAATCCCTTATTGAAAAATCAATTGGCAAATGGGATCTAGAAACTTTGTGCAACTTAATTTATATTGTTTGCAACTAAATTTCCTTTGTGTATAATTTATCTTTCCTTATATGTAATAATCTTCCTTTGTGCAATATGCAACTCAATTTTTTTTGTGCAAATAAGATTCTTTTATGTGCAAGTCATCTTCCTTATGGGCAAACTCTTTTATATCCAAATAATATTTTGTACAAACCATCTTTTCTTTGTGTAACTTACCTTTCTTTATATGTAACTAATCTTTCCAAGTGTAATCAATCATCTTAGGGACCATTTGCCAATTGAATTTGTAATGAGGGATTTATCCCTGATTTTCTCTTAAAATATTATTCAGATCTTATTAATTAAATATATTTGGATTCTATAATATCATATTTGACTCATTTTTAAAATTTCAAGAATCTGGTTAATCGATTGATGATGATATAAAATCTAATTTGTAGCGTAACAATTATCCTTCACCGGCGGATAGGAGGCTTTCAAGTGGGGAACCGAATACTCGGAGAAAGGAGGGGGGGCCGGGGGCAAAAGCCAAGAAAATTTTGTTCATTGTTATTCGACATGATAGCCCAGTTCATCATCTTTCTTTTGAGAGTCCCTTCTTGTCTTCAATAATATTATTACATTCGCCTAACGCATTTACTGCTTTCATAAACGTTCCAACCCCACACAATTCTTTAATACATTTATATATTAAGAAAAAAAAATGATAAAAATCCTGTTGAATTTCAAAAAAATAAATAGGTCATGTTAACTATTCTTGTAATGATTCTAACTACCCTTATAATTGTTTGAACAAGTCAAAATCTATTAAAATTACCTATTTATTATTTTGAAATTCAATAGATATTTTTCTGTCATTCTTCTGTATATATAAATGTGTATCAGCTTATCATTCTGTGAAACATACTACCTCTAGTCCTTAATATAAGAGCTAATTGACTAATTTGAGTAAATTAAAAAAATAATTAAGTTAGTTACTTATAATAAATAAATGTTATTTTTCCTAAAATACCTTTCTTGATTAAGTGTATTAACTAGAACTATTATTATTACAAGGATTGTCTTGAAAAAAAATGGACAAATATAAGAAACAAAGTGAATTGGAGTCTTGTATTTAAAATCAAAATAAAAATCAAACTAGTTCTTATATTAAGGACCGAATGTAGTATATAACTAAAGCGATATATGTAATGCTTACCTCCATAAAAATCTTATTCCACCTTTTCTTCTATGACCTTTCCTTGATTTTCGGCTATGCTCGGTGTGTGCGCATATATATATATATAGACACATATTACCTCCGGTGTTTAATATAACACTAGTTGATTAATTTGAGTGAATTAAGAAAACTAGTTAACTTAATTATTTGTAATAAATAGGTATTATTTTTTCTAAAATATCCTTACTAATCAAGTGTATTAATTAGAACTACTGTTATTACAATGATTACATTGAAAAAAATAGATAAATAAGGAAGACAAAGTGAATTGAAGTTTTATATTTAGAACTAAAATAAAAGTCAAAAGAGCTTTTATATTAAGAATCAGAGGTAGTACATATATAGGTGATACGAACTTTAGTCCTTCAAGTTTATCTTCATTTTGGTTTTGGTTTTGGTTTTGGTTTTTCAAATTTCAAACTACAAGTTTTGGTCCATCAAGTTTCTTTTTATTTATAACATTAGTTCCTAAAATTTAATAAAAACTTGAACCATTTTATCTTCTGAGAACTAAAACTTATAGTTTAAAACCCGAATACTCTTGGCCTAGTGGTGACTGGCTAGGCCACAAGTGAGGCGAGTCTCTGCTCTTTAAGGGCGGGGGTTCGAATCCTCACTTGTTAAAAAGGGTACCGGGGAGGGCTTTACTTGTCGCCCGGCCCGAATCCGGACTAGTTGATCGCTCGGGTACAACTGGCCCAAAGAGGTTAGGGCCCAGAAAAGGCGCGGTTGGATACCGGATGGTTTATATAAAAAAAAAAAACTTATAGTTTAAAATTTGAGAGATGAAAATCAAAATGAAGATAAATTTGAATGATTAAATATTATATTAACCATATTGTAGTTCGTACACCGATGTGAGAATCATATGGTAGAAGCTTTTCAGCCACGGGACGAGTAGAAGTGTTTCTATCAAAATGGATAGATGTTAATAGTATCTGACATTGGAAGCCGAAGAAAAAATCAGTGTCACGCGAAAATGACACAAAATGGGAGTTTTCCAATCAAATCTCTCTGCCATTTGAGGTAATGTAGCACGTGGCATGCTCCTAACTAGCTGCCTGTAAATTCAACGTGATTTGTCATCCACATGTTACAACCATACGCAACATCATTGAAACGTGCCCAAATATAACGGTGGAACTTGCTTTGCACGAATTTTAAAATAAGTGGCTACTTATAAATAACATGATTCATTATAAATTTACTTTGCATTAAGAAGCCTTTTGCTTATCATTTTCACCTTTAGATGAAACAACAACGAGGAGTCATATCTAATTAGATGAGATTAATTACATTATACTATCATATTCTATTAACAATTAAATATTTAAATAAATTGTTAATTAAAAGATTCTACTCAGTAATTTAATCGAGTGTTATATTCAGCCATTCATTATCTCTTTTCATAGAACTGCATATTGCTTGGTATATATATATATTTTTACTGGTGCATCTAATGATTTTCTTTGTACGTGCATGAATTATCTGAAACGATTTAATTTTACTCCAGCTCTTGCTCGCATATATGTTCAAAATTTTCATACTCTTCTTTCTACCGTTCTTTTTCACGTGGTAAGTTAGAATGAGAAACGTAAGTTCCGAATCCGTGAAATTCCCTCTTCATATTTTATCTCTAAAGCATACTACTTGAAAAGAATACATATATGTGTGTTATTTGAGAGGAACTAAGCGAGAAAGTAAGTGGGTATGGGCAATAAAGAGAGTGATGAAACATAGAGGAGGAATAATAATGGAGATAGTTATGTAAATTAAAGAGGAAAAAAGGAAGGTAGCTTTCTGGGCATCATAGATGCCCAAGCCTAACTATATTTGATGAAGAAAATGGACACAAGATTATGGCCTTTCATGCCTGTCAGTCTGGCAACTGTTTCTTTCGCTTTAAATTAGGTCGCTCGCCAACCCCACCAACTCCAATATCCCTTCACTCTAATAAATAATATTGTTTTCGGTTCTTAATATAAGAATTAATTTAATTTTTGAATTAATCATAACTATAAGAACTCAATTTATTTTATCTTTTATATTTATTTATTTTTTAAAGTAGTCCTTATAGTAGCTGCACATATTAAATATTCTATCAAATGATAGTTTTAGCTAATACACATGATTAACAAGGATATTCTAGAAAAGAAAATACCAATTTATTAGAAATAACCAACTCAACTAATTTTATTAATCTCCTCAAATTAGTCAATTAAGTTTTATATTAAAAACTAGATGTAGTATTATTATTATGGAAAGATTTTGAAATTGTAGAAGTTCGTTTCTCGTATTTATTTGCTGTTATTAGTTTGTTTCTGGAGTATGTAGGGGCATAAATTAATTAATGGGTAAAAATACAGGATAATGAAATAATTAAAGGGGGATTTTGATAAAAAAATTATATTTTTAATAAGATCGAATATTTTAACAAGAGAATTGAACTTTTT